GATTCGAAATCGGAAGAAAGTAGCAGATGTTTCGTAGAAAAAGAGCTAGCATTAGCTTATGAAAAATTGTATTGATCATTATCGAGAATACTTTCAAAGGTCATAGAAACGCTTCTAAAGCTAAATATTATTTTTATTATTTATTTTTTGTCGCAAAAAGTAATGTAAGAGCAACTCATGTATCACATGATACGAGTATGGCAGCACAATCTACCTCTTGTGATCTTACAAATTACTTAAATGAATTTCGTTTTATGAAACTTTTCTCAGTGTTTTTTATTTTTTTTACACTTTTACAAAATAACAAAAGATGAGAGAAAATCACTTGAGTTGAAGTATTATGTTTGTAGTGCTTAAACCGTCAGTCACTATGAGCACAATGTTAACAACTGCTTTCGATGTTTTTATTTTAATTTTTATTATTTTGTAAAGTTGTTTGTTTCCTTTCAACATTTCAGTCAATTGTTCTTTTCTGATAGGATTATGAATGTGTAAAGAAAACATGTTTAAATTGAAATAATTCTTACGCTACATATAGATAGCACTTTGCCTACATACGAATTGCTTTTACAAGACTTGTAAGACAAGTGTCTTCTTCATTTCAGTCAATATTGAATAATTGACGCGCACTAAATATGTCTGAACAGTTAAATGTGTGTCAACTGAAAACATATACAATGTATTGGTGACAACTACAACTTAAAGGCATTCGTGATCAACTAAAGTGCATGTTCTGCATTACCACGCTCAGCCGATCGTTTTAAATCCATATATATTCGTCCAGAAGGAATCTACAGAGTCGTCTTGATTAGCATTAAATTCTGAATCGTCATAAGTTAATCTTTACCTATATGTAAAAATTTAAAGCAGCCCTCCCTTCAGGATTTCTTGCTATTCACTATTCATAACCTGCCATAGCCACACGATGAACATTTCTACATATATCCTAAAAAAAAAAAAAAAAAAACGCGACGGATACGTCCGCTCTTTCTTTCCGATGTTATACAGAACACGAAAAATTCATTTTTTCATTTTTTAGTCTTTTCCAAGATAATGATGGTGAGTATGTAAAGTTCGGCGACAGCCGAAGGCAATTTATTTACTAGAGATTTCAAAAACTACTTTTAAGAAGTTTGTTTGAAACATTTCCTCATAAGATAAATACAAAGTGGAAGATCGTGAATTCATTTGAAAATTTTATTCCGGTAATGCAAGGCGAACAAAAAAAATGAAAAAATATTTTTTCTTCTCTTGAAACTTGAATTATGCAGTCTGTACTATTAAGAGTGTTAATGTGAAAATTGTTCACATCAACGATGCATACCATATGATCTATTGGCTAAGATATGTCAATTTCGCGCAGAAGGCACGGGTTCGATTACTGGAATTGAAACTTTTTCGGTGATGACCTTTTGTTTTTGCTTCACATCATTTTTTATCAAAGTCAACTAAAAACACTATAATCGAGTGGAGCTGACCTCTAAATATTTTACACCATTTCATCTAAAACAATGCTTCGCCTATTTTCGTCAGGAAGCAACCAAAAATGACATCTTGTACCAACGTAGACTAATCAACAAAATCATTCTCACTCGATGCATCTATTTCCAGTCGTTTGATTACAGAGATTATAGAGGGCAAACATAACCTCATTATCAGTTCGTCAAAAATTTGCTAAAGGTTATGTTTATGATATTAGGAAACGTAGCCGGTAAAAACGTAAACTTATTGCTGAAGATGTCAATGCTGCGGACAGCACCGCTGTGGATGAACGTCAATGGAGAATGTTACAGAGACATGATTATTGATTTTCAAGGCCATTCGGATTCCGTACAATGCCCTTATGTACGAACTGTTTAAAATCAGTTTAAATAAAATCGTTTTTTTCCTACAGGAATCCGATGCTTAAGGGCAAAGCTCTTCTCCATTCGCCGAATGCACGAAGAAAGACTTTGACGACGAGTAGACCGTCATGAAAGACTGAAATTTAGTTAGTTGTTTAAGTCATTGGAAATGATGCTTGAAGTAATCTTAAGAGACAGCAACAGGTCGTAACCCCGGTCGGAATAATGTTTCCAACCACGTATACTAAACTGGCAAGAGTTAGATTTTGGTTAGTAGCGGAAAATAGCGTCGCAGTTGAGAGAGGAGCTGGAGGGAAAAACACCCTGACGCGAGTGATAAGTCGCGGATACGCATTGAATGAATTTTAACGTGAACAGATGAGAAATGTGCCATAGGATCTCTTTGAAGGGCAAGGAATAATAAATGATCAAGTTGCTTAAATCGAAGAATGGAATGAATTCTTAGTTTTTCTTTAGAAAGCCATAAGACCTTTGCGAACGTAACGACTACTTTAGCGGGTGCTAATGTTAAGGCATAAGAAGGAATTGTCTAGCATGCTGCATTACTAAGTGGTGTTCATTTAACTGCACATCAACGTCGTCAACGCTATCATATCAATCATTTAACTGACTTTCATTGCTCTCTCATTCGAATTCGCAATGGACTCAATTGCTTGGTCACACTTAATGTGTAAAACAGAATTATTTATATCTATCTGTTATTATTAACCCTGATCTTGCTAACAACAACACTCATTCACTCATTTACTTACTTAGATATACAATCAGGTCAATTATGACAATTAGTGCATATTACGGTTAAGTGTTCACCTTAAACAACCCACAGACCCCGTTACACTAAACAATATTCTCGAACAACAAAGCAAAACGAATCCGGGCAGAGTAAACGAATAAAGCAAAGCACATTTTATACAATAAACAGAATAACAAAACTCTTGAATTCCTTTACAAATTGTACGGTGTTATATATATCAATGCATTAATTGTTGTTGACGTTACAGGTCACACAAACAAGTGCATTTAGCAAAAAAAAAAAATATATATATATATAACAAAAAATTACAAAAAAAAAAAAAAAAGAAAAGAATTAATAAAAATGTTAGAAAAGAAGGAAAAAAATATGTAATTTTTTAAATTACATTAAGTGTACCCGAGCATATATAGCCGTGATTTACGAAAGCTATCATCATGCTTGAAACACAATATTATTATTATTTATTAAAGGCAAAAAAAAAATAAATAAATAAAAATTTCAAATAATTTGAGAAAATTTTTTGCGCAAAAATTTTCACACAATTATTTAAATATTGTTATGCGCGCTCGGTGCTTAATATCATTTAAAATGATTTTCAATTTAAAAACACAAAGCGACAAATAACAACATTAGCATCATTTTTAGTATGAGATATAAATAAGGAATTTTTTTTTTTTTAATTTTCATATTTTCTTCTTTTTTTTTCTTTTTGCATGCGAAACGTTTCTATAAATAATTTGAAAATTATAATAATTTATTTATAAGCTTTATAACCATTAATTGTTTTTCATTATGTGGTTATAACATTTGTGTCAACCCATGCAAATAATTATTTCGTTATTTGCACAAATAAATCATGAAGCTTTTAAATTAATTTTTATTATTAATTTATTCTTGTTTTTAAAAAAATTAAAAATCATTTTATAGCTTACTCCGAATAGTTGATACCCCGAACAGTTACACGAATGCTTTCACGAGAAAATAATCCTTTTACGTATAAACGTAAAATGCTATGTAAGCGTAAATTATAATATACAAGCTGGAATTACTTTAACATAATCTACTCAAAGTTGAACTTAGCGGAGCTTAAGCGAAAACATGACTAAAAAAATTATTCCGCAAACAATCCTCGCCGGTAGATAATAGATAGATGGTGTAAGAACATGAGGAAATCACATAGCCTGACTGTAGCAAAGAGGACTTTTATAAATTGTTCTATCAACTGACTGCACCTATTTTCAACAACGACCTATGAGAGTTGCTGAGAAAAGAAAATTCGTTTTTTGCCTCTCAAAGAGATACATAATAATAGATAAATAATGATAGTGCAACAATTTGACAAACAATCACACATGTCATATCAAAAATTAAATATACTTGGCTCTTGTGGTGGGTGGATCTAAAAATAACAAAATAAGTTGCGATAAAAGAAAATTTGTTCGCAAACCACCAATTTGTGTGCACAACCATCAGTCAATAAATCTCGGGATTGACTTGTAGATCTCATCTTTAGCAAAAAATCAACATTACTTTTAGATATCGCCAAATCCTCACCTTTTCCACGTGAATTGAACTGACCGCCCTACGCGCGGAAAGTGCAGCACTTGTATGGCCTACGTATTTTGGGTTGCACATGGTATTCTCTTCATAGATTGCGTTGAGGAAATGAACACCAAATATTATATGTCGCTTCGGCCTGAGTTGACAAAAAAGGATTATTGGGATGGGATAAGACTCTCGACTGTCAAATCCGTGTTTGCGGATTCGAGACTCACGGTGCGTTAGGCCAAACTTTCGAACTTGGGAGTTAAGCTCGCTTGTGTTAGTACTTCAAACTGAGGAAATCTTGTAAGAAGTGTATACTTTTGGGAGCCAGGCTGCTGCATCTTTATCGATGTTTTTCTCTATCATGTCATAGTTCAAGGCAAAAAGGAATAAATAAATTTTTTTTTTAAAGACAAAAATGAATGGAATAACAAAGGAACGAATACTGGTAGGAATGAAGTTCGGATTACTCCTCCAGATATCTGTTCATAAATTTCAAAAAGACTCGTCCTTCAATGAATGAAGTCGAATCTTGCAAAAGACAAACTTACTTAGTCCTGGGAATTATTGATTGGCCGAATTACATAAATTTTATAGTTTACAGAGTCAACTAGTTGGCGGCATATTAAAATGATGATGGCCGCGTTAATGGCGACGAGGAAAAGGTATAACTTATTAGCTTATTTTGCAATATGTGCATATATATTAAAACTCGTAAATAGGTCTTCAAAATTTGCGTTTATATGATTACCGAAGATTATCTGTTTATGTAGTGCATAAAAGACTTAATTTTGGATTAAGATATTATTTAATATTCAATATTTTTGAATACTCACCGATCTAAGCACATGTTGGTAAAAGGAAAGCACATGTACACATTTGCAGCTGACAAAAACGCTGGATAGCTTATTAACGACAGCTAATTCAGAAGATTATACCGGTGACAAAAGCATTTAGTTTTCTTCAAAAATTTCGGCCAGATTCGTGCACTGATATGCTGATCCTTACATCGTACGTCTATAAATAGAGATATAAAATTGTGAAAGGCCACAAGCCACCAGGCATGGAAAAGGAATTACAAATAAATAGCATACGATACATAAATGTTGTTTAGGAAGATATAGGCGTACATTAAGTCGTCTGCTTTAGTTTAGACGGCAGCAAAGGAAAAATGTGAAAGAGAAGCACTGCCGAGTCAAGTTGATAACAAAACAACAACAACAACAACAATATTCATTAATATATTGCTTACCTATGTTTTGCATAATGTTCTCTTGCAGTTAGTTGTAAGTTAACATTAGATAGAGGACTTTTTTGATAATTTCTTTATAGTGTCAAGGGACCGTAAGATATCTATAATTAATTTGATTTGTTTCGTTCTGCAATCCATTTCAAGTAACGAATCTGTTCATGTTTAAAATCAAATTGTCTTTCTTTTGCGAATCTACTTAAAAATTATGATAGAAAAAAAAAAATTGGGTTGAAAGTGAAAGTGAAACTGAAAACATAAACAAGTTCGCCATATTTTTGTGAGCAGTCGAAAAAATTTGTTTTCGAAAATTTGAAAAATCCTCGTACGAATGCAAAACTGTAGCCAACTTTTGAGCGAGTAATTATAGATCACTTTCCCGATGATAAACCAATTTATTAAAGACCCGTCAATTTATTCAAACCATATTTTTATTAAGAATATGTTAACATAATTTTTTGAAAACAACCTCACGGCATGGCTTATTATCGCAAGAAATTCCTACTATGTACTAGGTAACTTTCTACCTGAATTGTGAAACTTTCTACCAGTAAAAAAAAATAAATATTAATTGAAAGAAAAAAAAAATATTAATTGATTTAAGATTTTCATTTTTTGAAACACTTTAATAAAATCGGATGAAGAAAAATTGTCAGGGACATTTTACGCTTTTCACAAGAGACTGCTACTATGCAGTTAGTTGTAGAGGAAATTTGATATTAATGGGCTGAGAACTTAAAGTACTAGGAATATGCTTCTCTCGTAAAATCTAATTCGATTTATCGTTTAACCGTAATGTGCGTTCCGTTCCGAAAAGCGATTAATGCGAATAATTGGCTACACTGTAAAGCTATAAATTCTCTCTTATTCAGGTAGAATGTTGGATACCATTACCAAAAGCCAAACTACATTGTGTTCAATTTATCCGCAAATCGACACCATGACCATGACGCCTGAGGATTTCACAACGGATCTATACGTTGCAAAAATTTCACATACACGAACTGTATAAGTTTTCCGGTGCGATTAAGGCAATTCCAAAATAAGTGAAACCGTTATGCTAAGGCAAAGCCGACACTTAAACATACATTGCACCACTTCCCTCGACACAATCCTTTTTCATATTTTCGTGATAAAACCTATAAAAGGACTATATATATGTTATGAAAGTTCACACACGGAGAGATGTCCGAGAAATGGACTTACCTGGTCCAAATTAGCCCAATTCTCAATATAAAATATTAAAAATTAATCATTTTTGCTATATTAAGGCTTAGTTTCACTGGGCACCTTTAGACCTTGTGAACTCCAAGAGATAAACCTACCTAGTGTGGGCTTTGCTGCGATCAATTTCTATATCAAATTACTATTGCAAAATTGGATCGTTCAAAATTGGGGTTCAAAAGTTCGGCTGATTCGATTCACCACTATGTGGCGATTTTTCGAGAGACACTATGAAACCTGCAACAGCTGCAATATATAGGGAGTGGTAGCAACTTATTTGCAATAGGAGCTACCGTTGGCCAAAATACGTCAGAATATAATATTTCGTCGAAATATATCAAAAATGTCGTCTTGCAAGTTGAGTATAGAAGACATGGATAGACGGCAGATATTAATCGACAATCGATTACGTAAATGATTTTGAACTTAGTATACCTCGTGTGTATAATTAATGCATCACTATGTTGCATATATGAAAATATAATTCATCCTGGAGTAGTAAGTGGAAAGTTTTCAAGCATTTTAAGGGATAGACTACAAGCACTTGTAGAACAAACAACTTGTTTTCCTACTTAATACATGCAATGAAAATTGAAAGCTAATGAGGAAAGGGGCTAACTATGCCGTAAGGCCTCTCTATATTTAATAATTTAAGCAAACATTTGCATTTTAATATTTTTCAATTCATTTCTCTCAATTGTTTCTTTTCAATTATCTTCTATCTGTTAGGCTTTTATGTGCGTATGTATATGAACATATTTAGAAATTTTATCCCAATACCGTACGTCCAAGTCCCATGCAAAATAATTTATTACCTAACATTCATTTAAAAATACCATATTTCCTGTTCCGAGTCTCGTATGCATCGGTTTGGCCGAATTGCTTGCTTGCCTTACGCAAACAATAATATTTTGAAAATTTATTAATATTTAAACATATATTTTATGCTTACATTTATTTCATATATTTTGTATTCAATAGACAAACATACAAAATACAATTTTCATTATTTAAGCTGATGTTATTGCCTGTTTGTGCTATTATGTTAGTTGTCTACTTGTAAGTCCATATTATTTACTGTGATTAACTTTTTGTTAAATATATTTTTATTCTGTTTTTTTTTTTTTTTGAATTTACACTTTAATTTATGTAAAAATTATAGGTAGGAGTTGAAATCTTTCGCATAAATATTAAGTAATTAATAAGATGAGGTATAAGAAGAGAGACGCGAGAAAGATTCGAGAATTTGACGGCATATCTATCTCTCTAATAAATGTACAATGGGCAAATAGATGGCTATGCCATGGGCTGTGTCGACCCAAAATCAACTACTGACCAAAAAGATATTCCATAGGGTAATCGAGTCTTTACTTTTCGATACTAGTCAAGATCATCGTACCTGAACATATGAGAATTCCATTGGATTAACGTTCTCCATTATGGTGACCATCAATTCTATTAGCTGTGAGAGATACCTTGATAACAGTCTCATACTCATACATTCGTCCCATCATGGAGAGAGTTGATAGAATCTATTGCACATTCAATGAAAAAAAAAAAAAAAAACCCAAACAGTTTATGGCTCATATCCTATCTCTCTGTAGTTCACATATCCTATTTACCCAACATTCTAGCAGTCAATCAATTCTTCTCATCGCTTGAAAGAGATGCTTTCCTTAAGCTACGTCAAACTACTACTTCTATCGCACGGTTCATTCAAATCAATGGAAAATCTATCGAATTTCTCTGCCACATTACATCATAATAATGCAATGCTGGCCTTCCATTGCACATTCCCTGCTTCACGTATGGCCTGAAAAAATTGTTACATTTACATCGCTTCAAACAAACCAAGACAGAAAGAAAGAAAGAAAGAAAGAAAGAGAGAAAGAAAGAGAGAAAAAAAAAAACATCAATAATAATAAGTATAAGAAATTCAACCTTAACCCCCTTATTGAAATTTCGAATTTTGAAGAGTCCTACGAATTGTTAATAGTTTTCCCTCAATCAACAATCGTAGGTGCGTACGGAAAACATCGACAAATCACACAAAAATGTCGTAACTTTTATATAAATTTGTGACCGACACTTTTATTAAAAGTTTGCTTTGCTTCTTTTTTTTTTTTTTCTTTTTTTTATTATTTATTTATCTAAACGTGAATGTACGCTTTTCGCAGACTGGGTTCACACTTTCATGTATGCCTTCAATACTGTTCACGGGAGAGGGGGTAGTGCAGGGAGTTATGTGGCGTCTATTTTGTGCGTGTGTGTGTACGCGCGAGTATGTGTGTGTGTATGTATGTATCTTCATATATGAGTCCATGCTTGCGGAATAGTATCAATTACATTCGGAAGGAGGAAAAAAAAAGTATGTTTGTTATTTGTGAACAAAAGTGTGCTTACGTGTGCTCAACAATTCTGAGTAAAAAAAAAAAATAAATAAAAAAAAAAATGAAGAAAAACAAACAAACAGTAGTAGTGCTTTTACTTACGAATTTGCTGAGTGCCTGGTAGTGATAAACTAACAAATACTACAACATTGACAAACATTGACTGATGACATACACATGCATACATCCGTGCGTACAGCAATGCGTATGTTTTCGAATAAATCGAAGCTGCAATAGCCAAACACAAACGAATATACGGAACGTTCCTTGAATACTAAAGAACCTCTAAGCTAATTATGTGAAAATTTAAGCATTATAGCTGGTGAGCCGATTCACATCATCGATGGCTATAAAACTATGTAACTTTTACTGCTTACACCAACTCTATAACAACCATACACCATAGCCAACTATGCTGTCTATATAAAATGTAACAGCCCGGTAGTAGAGAATTCAATATAAAACATTAGGAAAGTTGTTAAACGAATTAAAAGTGATTACGTTTTGTAAACATAGACGTCATAAACGTTTTAAAAGTGTTTACGGTAAAGTTCTTTTATCAAAATCAAACTCAAAAGCAATTAGCGGACGAAACTGAGTTAAAGAATTGATCAGAACGACAGGTATCGCCTTTCATTATGACGCTGCCAGGTGACACGCTTCTCTTATGCCTTGGCAGGTATTGATACGAGTTAATTGGGAAGTTTTGATGCATTCACATACAGAACACTCTTAAGCTACAAAGCTGACTTATTTGGCTCAGTCTTTGCGTCCAGAAATTCCAAACGTTCTACCACGATGGCGGATAATAATTACAGCAGTAAAAGCACTAATATAAGCATTACCGAGACCTCGGTTAAACAACTCGCAAGCACCGAACATAATGGGAAGCCGCTTTACCATATTATTTTATACGAAAATACGTAAATAAGAAGCAAAGTAAAGAAATCAGCATAAATAATAACAATAATAAATATTATGTAGGAAAAGTAACGGGAAAAAAATTAATGCAAAAGCAAATGAAATTTTTAATTGATTAATGATATAAGGAATGAGGAAAAATGAATTTAAAAGGAAGCATACAAAGGTGGACGCAATCAGGCAAAGTGGAGAAGAAGAAGAAGCAGAAGAGCATAAATGTTTTAGTTTCAAAA